AGAGAGAGAGAGAGGGGGGGGGGAGGGACAAAGAGGAACAAAGAGAGACCAAGAGAGACAAAGAGAGACAAAGAGAGACAAAGAGAGACAAAGAGAGACAAAGAGAGACAAAGAGATAGCGCGGCAGAAGGTAGACAAGACTGGCACAGGCCCAATGGCGGCCAGCCAACAGGAAGTAGGCTCTGCAAGCAACGGACCTGCTCCTCGGACGTGGCACCGGTGATGAGGGTGCTGACACGGGGATTGGCAATGACCCAGGCCAGGGCCAGCTGGCTGCAGCTAATGCCCAGCTCCTTGGCTAGGGTGGCCAGACGCTCGACCTTGGCCAGGTTCTCCACCGCCTCCGGGGAGGTGATGTACCGCTCACGCAGGTAGGCATTCTCCGGGGCGGCCAGACGACTGCCCTCGGGGATGTGACCCCCGGCATACTTGTTGGTCAGCACACCGCTGGCCAGGGGGGACCAGACGGTCAGGCCGAGCCCCGGACGGGACTCATACCGTGCCAGGTAGTCCAGCTCCACCTTCTGGCGCTTGAGGAGGTTGTATTCGGGCTGCTCCACGACCGGCGGGTGGAGGTTCAGTCGGTCGGCCAGGCACTGCGCCTCGGCGATCTGCTCGGCCGACCACTCGCTGGTGCCCCAGTAGAAGGCCAGGCCCTGGTCCACGCAGAAGCTCATGGCGCGGACGGTTTCCTCCAGAGGCGTGGCCACATCCGGCCGGTGGCAGAAGAGCAGATCCACATAGTCCTGCTGCATGCGGGCAAGCGACTCGCGCGTGCCCTCGATGATGTGCTTGCGGCTGAGGCCGATGTTGTTGGGCCCGGGCCGAGTGCCGAAGAAGATCTTCGTCGACAGGACCAGATCCGAGCGATGCCAGACGCCCTCGGCGATGCCTCGATTAACCGCACGACCAACGAGGGTCTGGTGCATGCCGTGGGCCAGGTGAGAAAGCGGCCCACGGTGGAGGGCAAGAATGGGCAGCCGGTCGCACCTCGGCCTCGCCGCGGCTGTACACCTCGGCGCAATCGAAAAAGTTGATCCCACGCTTGAAGGCGGATACCATGAACTTGTAGCTGGTATCCTCGGGGGTCTTGCTGTTGAATGTAAGCCAGGTGCCTGGAGGCCGCCAACACGTCGGGGGGGGGGGGGGGGCAAAGGGGGGCAGCCGGAGCAATAAAAAGGAACAAAGATGGGTGCGGCGTCCCAAGTCGCCGCCCGGCTGGATTTGGTAGGTGGTGTATAGTTTGGCGCGGTTGGTCGGTGTGGTGGGTTGGTGTTTGTTCTTGGCTGCGTGGGTGGGCGTCGGTGTGGGCTTCTGGGGGGGAGGGGGAGGGGGGGGGGCGGGTGCAGGGGGGGGGGGGGGGGGGGGGGGGCTTCAGGGGGTCAGCTACTTGGAGGGGGGGTCGTGGCGAAGAGACCATGGAGGAGAGGCAGAGAGGCAGAGAGACAGCGTGCGAGACCCAGCATGCGACGTACCGAAGGACAGGACCGAGACCTGGGGGGAGGGGGAGACGTGGAGGTGTGATGGTGTGAGACACGGATGCAGGATCGGGTGTAGAAGGGAGAGCCACGCAGTCGTACCTTGAGACCGGTTTTGCCGAGATGGCGGTAAATCATGGGAGTGCTTCCGGGCATGGTGGAGAGGCAGATATGCACAGAAGTGGCGTGAGAAGTGCGGCGGAGAGGGGAGGGAGAGTGCCTTTCGAGGGGGATACTCGCAGCGTTGTCGCTGGACACCTTTAAAGCACATCCGGCGGTGCCCCTCGCTCCACCCGAGGACCGCAGGGCGACAAGAGGGAGGCACTACATGCCGATCTGACACCAGGACATGGCGGCCGGGGGACGGGAGATCTGTTGAGCATGGCCCCCGCCCCCTCCCCCCGGACGAGCAACCGATATCGCGGGCTGATTGAGGAGGAGAGGGGGTAGTCGGGGCAGGGGGACGACGAGCACCATTGATCTGGGCTCTGTCCGTGGGGCGACATTCGAGAGGAGGACGAACAGATCGAAGTCAAAGTGTCCAAACAATCCCCGCTGAGGGCAGTGTGTCGCGTAGCTCAAGTGAGAGTGTCTGTCCCTACTTTTGGGGGGGGGGGGGGGGGGCGCACTGTTGCCCGAACTGGAACAGGCAGGTCGATCGCATCCAACCATGGGTCCAACACTTCCAGGATCGGGGAATATTTCTATTGTCCCCTTTCCCCAAAGAGGGCTCCTGCCCGATTGTGCGGCCCCCTCCCCCCCCCCACGACAATACTCCCAACGAACGACATTCGGCCAGGCGCATATCTTACGCGACCCCATCCCGGTGTTGCTTGCGGGTGCGCGGGACGGCGCACGTTCGGGGGGGGGGGGGGCTCGGGCCCTCGGTCCTCCGCCCCTGGGGCACAAAGGCGATTGGCGACAAGGGGTGGTATCCTCTGTGTCCCCTGTGGGGGGGGCATGTGTCACCCCCTTGCACCCCCTTGCACCCCCTTGCACCCCCTCTGCACTCCTTCCTCTCCCCCGCCCCGCGTCCTTGCACACACACACACACACACACACACACACACACACACACACACACCATCCGCTGGGATACAAGGGGGACCCCAGCCACTTTACGCATGTCCCAGACCTCCCTCCCGGCCGGGGAGCATCTCCCCCTCGAGCGGCTAGAAAGCGAAAACCTTCTGCTCTTTCTCCAGTCGGTGGCCCCACATGGCTCGGATCCGGAATCTGGCCTCGACTCCGACCTCGACGGGATCCTGAAAACCCTCTTCGCCGCATCGGTCCTGGCCACCGAGTTGCCACCCTTTCCTCTGCATCTGGCAGACCCGGGGATACCTTCGGATGCCGAGGCACCGGACCTGCAGTCCCCCAGCCTGGCGCCAACTGCTCCCCAGTCACCTGTATCCGAATCGGCCTCCCCACACGCTTCTCCGACCATACTGCATCCTGCACCCCCAGCCACTCTGGGGCCCAGCGTCGGATCGCAAGCTCCTCATCAGCAGCAGCAGCAGCAGCAGCAGCAACAACAACAACAACAACAACAATCACAGCGCCCAATCATCCTCCTCGAGGCCGATTTGACTTCAGAGCACCTTTTCATGCTAGATCGCTTCGAGCGAATGCCGGACTTTGAAGCCCGATTCGAGGAAGTGGTTCTACCACCAGCGCCCGGGGATCCTCCAGCCTCTGTCCCAGCCCCACTGAGGGAATATGCCTCGGTGGTGGAGAGGGATCCCTCGGATCCTGGGGACTGGGACTTCCACCCTGTCTTCCGCAAGGAACAATCCCAGCAACAGCGCGACAGAACCGCCCGACAACTGGCCAACCTCATGGCTCGCCTGGGGGGGAAAAAAACATAGCAGCCCAGACGGAAGACCAAAAATACACCAAAACCACAAGCCCACAGACCGACGAAACAGAACACCGGGAGACAAAAAGAGGGGGTCTTTTGAGGGGACAAGATTCCTGCTCGGGGCGCGGCTCACCACCAGGGGGAGAACAACCTGGGGGGGGGGGGGGGGGGGGGGGGGCGCGTCATCCGCAAACAGGGAGAAGGGGGATCAACAAGGGCAGAGGAAAGGGAGGGGGCAGGAAGGGAGGAGAGAGTGCACATGCACACGTGTGCACATTTGCATGCACGCATGTGCACACCCCACAGCATGCATGTGTGTGAATACATATGCACATATGCGCATATATGCATACACGGCTGTACGATGCGCCTACGGATCGTAGTCCGGACCCGGCACACCGCCCCCATAGTAGGGCATATGATCGAAGGGCATCACCTGGGTGAACATCGGGGAGGAGGAGGGATAGGGCAGGGCATTTCCCGGCGAGGGAGGGTACGGCAGAAGAGGCGGGAAGTGATGGGGGTGCTGCTGCTGCTGCTGCTGCTGTTGAGATGGCTGCTGCTGCTGCTGCTGCTGCTGCTGCTGAGACTGAGACTGAGGGCCACCCGGTGGCTGCTGCGACTGAGACTGCTGGGAGGACTTTGACCCCCCGCCACGAGCATACGGAAGTGTGGAGGGCGGCGATTGGCCCCCATTGGCCGACGGCTCGGTGTTGCCGGTGCCGCCGTGGCTGCTGCCGGACGCGGCAGCGCCGCCGTCCTGATGCGAGAAGCTCAAGGGCCCGCCAGTGGATGAGGCCCCCGGGGCCCCGGCCAAGGCCCCGCCAGGCCCGGGGAGAAGCTGCAACGGCGACGGGGCCCGATAATCCCCGAGGAGGTCGTCGGTCGGCGAGGCCCCAGGTAGAGCATCAAATGGGTATGTCGGCATATGCCCAGCCCCCCAGCCGCCGCCCTTGTAGAAATAGCTCCCCCCGCCGCCGTAGGCATCCATCGGGTATGGCCTCTGCGGGGTCGGTTGGGGGATGAGATTCGGGAAGGTGAACGGGGCTACGTTTCCCCCGGGGCCCAGCAGGGAACTGGCCCCGGGAGACAGGGGGACAAGGCCTCCCCCACCACCGACAAACGGTGGCGGCGGCGACGGCATCGTCAAGCTCATGTAGCTGAAGGGGGCATCCATGGAGCCAAACTCCGGGAAGGCGAAATTCCCGCCATTGTGCCCGCCCTGCTGCTGGTGCTGGTGGGGGTGGTGCTGCCGCTCCGAGGAAGGGGATGAAGCCTCGGCATCCGAGTCATCGGACTCGCCGCCGCGGGTATTGGTCGACAGGGTCTTGGCCGGGCGTTGGACGATTTCCACTCCGGCATTTGGGCCAGTGGTAGCTGCTCCTGTGTCCGCGGGGGGGGAGTTGCCCAGGGCCCCCTCGGGACCGGCATTCTCGCTGGTGGGATGTGCATTTGGCTGCTTGCCCGCCAGTGCGGGCGCCGGATGCGAGACCTGGGTCGGGGGATCGGTTGAAGCAGCAAACGACGGAGATGACGGGCCAGAAAGCAGGACATTGGCCGCGGAGATGGCGTCCGGATCATCGAGAATGGACACGACATCCGCCTCGAGCTCAGTTCCAAGAACCGGCTGCGATTGCGATTGGGCTTGGGGCTGATCCCGCAATGGAACTTGCGACTGTGGCTGGGATTGCTGCTGTGCCTGGGATTGCTGCTGTGCCTGGGATTGCTGCTGCGCTTGGGACTGGGGCTGTGGCTGCGACTGGGGCTGTGGCTGTGACTGGGACTGTGGCTGCGACTGCTGCGATTGCGATTGCGATTGCGATTGCAATTGCGATGGTGGCTGTGACTGTGACTGCGATTGACGTTGATCCATCATGGGCTCGGACTTCAGCTGAGGATTGCCAGCGGTGGTTGAAGAGGCTCGGGTGCCACCCGCCGGACCGAGGCCGCGAGTGCGCTGTGTCCCGGTTGACTGATCGACCACCGGCAAGGGGTCGCCAGCATCAGGCCCACGGCAGCGACGCTTCGAAGGAGGCTCCGACACACCGTCAGAGCCCTGGCCGCTGCTGCCATTGCCATTGCTACTGCGTGGGATCCATGGCAGTGGTGACGGTGGATGCATGTCACCCGACAGCAGGAGCGGAATTCGACCCTGGGACCCGGACCGGGACAGGCCCTTCGGCGGAAGGGGCGGCGGCTGCATGCCCATGTAGAAGCCGCTTCCGTGGGTGTCGGCCATCGGCGGCTGGCCGTATTCCCGCAGTCCCCCATAGTTGGAGGGCGGATAGTGGTGGTGTGACTGGACCACATACGGCGGCTGACTGACATGCGGCCGCGGGGGGACCATGTCCATCGGCGATCGAGCCATCCCATGAGGCGGAGGATAGTACCCGGGGCTGCTTTCGCGCATGTAGAACGGGTCATATGGCCGGACGTGCGACATGGGCGGCATGCCGGCCAGCGGATCCGGCCCACGCGCTGGCCAGAAGGAAGAAAGGGGGCCAGGAGGAAGGCACGAGAGAGTGGGTTAGTAAAAAAAAAAAGAGAGAGAGAGAGAGAGAGAGAGAGAGAGACACCCCAGGGACGGTGGCAGGGGAGAAGAGAAAAGAAAGCGCGATGGGCAAAAGGAAATGTCGCAGGACCACGAGGAGAGACACACCTGGTGGACCAAAGGAGCGCGGCGGCATCATCATATCAGTGGTATATGGTGGCAGGCTGGGCTGGCTGGCTGCCGGGAGGCCGGGCTGGTTGGCTGGCGGCGGGTACACACCGCCGCGGCGTTCGGACAGCGACATCGGCATGTACCCGGGGTAGGGACCGCCCCCAGGAGGGCCATCATGGGCGCCGGCGCCACCCGGGCCCCCCCGGAGCATTTGGTAGTAACCCGGGTCATAGCTGTTGTCGATCAAGTCGATGGTGAATTGGTCGCGCGGGCTGGGCGGGTAGGGCGGGGCAAGCGGGCCCTTGCGAGCAGCTGCACGGAAACCAGGCAACCAGAGGAGGCGGAGCAGGACACAGTGAGAAGCGGTCAGTGGAAGCAGATGGGAGGAGGGAGAGGGAGGGAGAGGGAGGGAGATGGAGGGAGAGAGAGAGAGAGAGAGAGAGAGAGAGAAGGCAGCCGTAGCAACAGCAGCAGCGGACGCACGGTCGCGCGTCAGGTCGACGGGCCCGCCACGGCTCGGGAGTAACGGATCGCGCGGCGCTGGTATCGTCGACGACATCAGAGTCGCATCAGCCAGGGACATCAAAGTTGGCGAGGCCGCCGAGGAGGCCCCGGCGTTGGAGGACCTCCTGCTGCCACCAGCCGGGGTCTCGTCTTCGGCGTCGCGCACGGCAGCGGGGGGCTCCTGTGCGGCGCCGGAGCCGGCCCCGGCCGCGGCTCCTGGAGCCACCACAGGCCCGAGGGCCAGGCTGGAGGAAGACATGACGGAAATGGGCGGCGAGCCGCCCAGCGTGTCAGCTGTGCTTGACCCCCCTGGCGCCAGGGACGCCGAAGAGGACGAGGCAGAGAGACCGACCGAGGAGGAAGCAGAGGCAGAGATGCCCCCACCGGGAGTACCCCGACCGGTCGACTTGCTAGCCATAACCGCCGTCATATAAGCCAGCAGCTCCGGTGCAAAGCGCGCAAACTCCGGATCGGCCATCAGCCGCGCGGCACAGGCCATCGGATCCGAGCAGACGCAATTCGAAGAGGAGGAGGTGGCACCGGCGCCGGTGGCGACCACGATGGCGGCGTTCGCGGTCGCCGTGCCAGCGCCAGCCGCGGAGGCACTGCCTTGCAGAGCGGCCAACTGGGCCGTGCGCTTGGCATCGGCCTCGGCAAACACCTCGGCCGGCAGGACCGACCTTTCGGACAGGCCGCCGGAGCGCTTCTCTCCGGACATGGCGGTCATGCTAAGGCTCCCCTGTACTCCGAGGCAGAGGCGGATCAAGGACAGACCCTTGGACCGGGTGAGCAGCGGTTGGAACTTTGACGTGGCATAGGTGAACAGGTGATTGGACTCGCTCGCAATCAGGAGGAGCACCTGTGTGCCCGTGAGGGTGGAAAGCTCGCGGGCCTACACATCCGAACGGGAGGGGGGGGGGAAGGGGGGCTGGTAAGGTGAGTAGACGTGCCGATTTGGCCAGCAAGGGAAAGCAGGGGCACAGGCGAGGAGAAGATACTCAAGAGAGACCGAGAGAGAGAGAGAGAGGAGGGGGGGCGGAAAACGGGCAAGGATGCCCGGGGCAGAGAGGCTGGCGGACCTTCTTCATGATGCCGGCCTTGCGCTTGGAGAAGGAAATGTGGCGCTTGCTCTTGTTGGCGATGTATGCGATGTTGATCTTCTTGCGCTCGGTCTTGGTGGAGGGGGAGGGGCTCTTGGTGGAGGATCGGGCGCCAGACCGGGCGCCACGGCCGGACCGGGCACCACGGCCGCGCCGAGCGCCAGCCGTGCTGGGCGATCCGTCACCATCGTCATCGTCATCGCCGTCATCCGAGCCGCCAGCATCACTGTCGAACATCTCATTAGTCAGGGGGTTGGCTTCGATCTGGCCGTAGGCATCGGTCTCGGCATCCAGCAGCATCTGATCCTCGGACTTCAGGGACCCAGGGGCCAGGGGAGCCTGATCGGAGCCGCCTTCCGGCAAGTGGGCCGGTGGGAACCGGCCGGCATCCGAGAAGGTCCCGGCCGAGTGCAGCGAACCATCCGCCGTGGCATAGGAATGGCTGCGTTTGCGTGAGGAAACGGCTCCGAGGGCCGAGGGGGTGGGCAGCTCAGTCGGCAGCCCGGACCGCGCGGGATGCGGCGAAGGCATCGGCATGGGAGGCGGATACGGGCTCCCAACGCCGTAGGGGGGACCGCTCATTGCCCCGGGATGGCGGGCATCGACGCGCCGGTGGCGAGGAGGGGAGGCAACTCCAGACACAGGGACGGAGAGGGTGGAGACCGTTGAAGGGGGGGGGGG